GCAGTTATCCCGTGTGGAAAAGGGGTATGGTATGGGTGAGGGGTTGAAATGCGAGGAAAACAGCACTTAACCCTTGGTCCGCAGAGCGCGCCGCGCAGATGGCGTCGTCCGGGGCAATTTTACATTTTTCGAAAACACAATTCCGACCTGCTGCCAACACCCAACCCACCCCCGCAACGCAAAAGCAAGAGGGTGGTTTTTCAACTACCCTCAGCCAGCCACCAATCCCGTAGAAGGAGGGCTACTTACAAAACACTTACATGCATTACCCGCCTTGCTCTCGACCGCTTAATGTCGACATTTTATCGCTTTTCTAGCTTTCCCAATTTCCACCGAATTTCCACCAATTTTCCTTTTTATTATAAAAAAAACATTTAAAACCACCAAGTGTCGCCACTGTAACCACAATCAAACCAACACAAAAAAAACGCTTACCATTTTTAGAGTTTCAATTGAATCGCTACCCTTTCGATATTTTCACATTTCAACCCTCAAATATATATAAAAATATCTTGCTAATTCCTCTTACGGCCTGTGCGGGATCAATTCAAAGTGCACGCTTGATACCTGCCCCGCAGCATGCCCAAAATTTACTCAATATGTACCCGACCGCATATTGCCACCCCGTCTACCCAGCCAGCTCGAGTAGCAGGAGTCAAAACATTAGTATTCCGGCGAGGTGCGAAAGGTGTAAGAGCCGTGGCGGAACGTACACGCAGTCAAGCAACCAACTACGCCGAATCATCCGAGCGTCCACGGCGAGGGGTGCGAAATATAAGATTGTTTACATTCAATATGTGCCGAATGCAATCCACCCCTTCACATACTTCAGACATTCAAAACCCACCTAAAACAACATGGGTTAAATTAACCCAACTTAACCTCACTATATTTTACAAAAAAAAATTAAAAATAAAACTTTCAAAAAACTATTTCATTTTTCAAAAGAAAAATAGTTCTGGAAGATGAAGGCAGATGTTATATAAATTTTTTCTATATTTTTCTATTTTCCACCCTCGACCCTGTTTCGCTAGTTTTCTACTTTGCTGTATCACTTTTTATCCCTTTTATTCTTCACTTCTGACGACTTCTTGTATCCCCTGCCGGTGTACTTTAGACCGTACAAAGTTTATTCAATCGTCCGCATCTCTTCTTGTTATTGGAGTTGCGCGTCGCATTCAGTGGGGGCGGAGGGCGAGTTTCTCGGACTCTGAATCGCGACTACATACACGTATAAAAGTCGCTTATTTTCTCATAAAAACATACTATTTGACTACGACTTTTCCGCTTCTTCTCCATCTCCACCGCGCTACATGCTACATACTCAGACACTTTCCGCCCCCGCCCGCCGCCATAAGAACGGAGATCTATTGTAGTTTGTTATTACTTTCTATTTTGAGCCGCACATGAGGCGCGGAGCACGGAGCGCAAACCCCCAAAGAGGTCGAAGTTATATAATAGTCTTTTAAATTAGTTTCGCGAGGAGTCATTTCTCAAAGACCAAAGTGCACATATTCGGTGTAATCCACCGCCCTCAACCCATCACAATACCTAAATTACATCCGGAGAAGAATTTAAAATTTTCCAAGTCAAAAATCAATTAATTTCGAGTATTATATAAAAAATAAAACAAGAAACGTGTTTTTCGTGTTTGGCTGCGCTCTCGACATGAAAAGTGGAAAGTGCAAAGTGTTTCCCTGGGACATGAAAACAATGATGTTAGCGCCGGCAAGACATCTGCTACCCCCGTGCTTTCGGGACTTTCCGGTCTTCCTCCGCATCTTGGCAAGCAAGAACACACCCTCCTTCACTCTCTCCGCGCGAGAACAGCTTTTTAGATAACTATTACATCAGCGATGCAGGAAGTACACGCGCTTGAACTTTCCGCATCTTCAAATCTGAAAATCCACCCCTTGCAATGCCGCAAAAAAAACAAGACAAACAAATTTAATAAACTCTTTAAACTCTTCCAAAAAGCCCTCCGGACAGTTAATTACACAAATATCTCTCTATATTTGTTTTGTTTCCGCACTTCCGGCGACGGTTTTTTGCTGCGCTGTGACAAAAAGTGCAGATATAAAGCTATAATGTCGAGAGGTTACTTTATTATTCTCAAAAGAAGTCGACGGCGGCAACGTAAGAGGAAAAGTGTTTGTCCCCTCGTGTTGTTTGCTGCCCGCGCACATAGACAAACACAACAAACGCGCGGAGCGGCGAAGAAAACGCATTACTCGCCAACGCAGCCGCCACACTTTGTGTGCCCCAGCCGCGGAAACAGCGAAAGAAGCGAAAAATATAAACACGCCGGAAGGCGGAAAGCCAAGGCTAACAAACCGCATTATTACATTATTCGTGCGAAGGAATAACAGAAAAAGCCGCATATACCTTCAAACACTTCCACACCCACACACAAACCAACATCATATATGTGTAGTAGACACTCTACGACTTTCCACACGTCCAGCCAGATCCGCTTTATCTTAGTTATTCTTTGTTTCTTTGTTTGCTCGGCGAGTTTTGTACTTTTGCGCGGCGCCACGGTGCCCTTCGTGTATTTGGCTCATTTCGCATTTAGTTAGACTGCTTTTATTCTGGATGTGTGAGTGAGTTGAGTGCGCGCGGGTTATAAGTGCGGAATTTTTCGCTTTTATAAGGTCAATTACTTCTTTTCTGGCGGCGTCTTCAATGTTTACCGAGTCGCATCGTAGATTAGGATGAACGTTTTGTTAAATTATTTAGTAACCAAGATAAAAGCACTAAGCACAACCCAAAAAAAATCAGAACTATTCAATTGTAGATGGCGCTACTTGAAAATCGACTTACAAGTTGCATAAAATGACATTCATCCGTTTATTCACTTAACCAATGAAATACTCATCCATTTAAGCCTAATTTCTTCATCCTCTTTCTTGTGTCTCCCTCAACACTCTTTTTTCAATCGCGGCTGCAAGACGCGCGATGCCAGATTCGACACGACAAGCTAAATGAGGAAACAAGTGGTTTTCCAGTTCGATCTTTTTTCCTTCAGCCCAACACTTTCCCGGCTTTCGTTTTCTTTGATACACACACACACCCACACTGTGGGTAATTTTTTCCTCGTAGAAAACATATCCATCAACCTAAGTCGCGTCGACAAACACGCATTCCTGCGTTCCGCAAAATATTATCGACTTTGCACAGGGAAGCACCGCCTGTCTTCCCTCTGCGCTCCGCGCTACTTTTTTTTATATTCACCACTCGCCGTTGAATCGGATAGATGAAAATTCCATTTTCGGCGCGCACATATTGAATCCGAGACAGTGCGGGACAAGGCCGCGCCAGGTTTCATCAACGTCAAATGAACAAACCGAAGAAGCGCGCCTAAACCTAACCACCGCGCAGCAACGAAGAAGCAAGAAAAGACGAAAAAAAAAGTTGAGTAGCTTCCAAATTCCCCGAGTGTTTTCTGTCATTCAGTCTTAGCAGTCGTGGAAAACGGGCACGAAATCAGACGATGGAAATACCTGCTCACCCGCTCACAGCCACGCGGGCGTACATTTCTTGTTTACCACGATTTTATTGCATTATTTATCAATTTTTTTCGTCGGCGCGCGCGCGGATGATAGCAATAGCGCATCGCAGACGACGATAATGCACAGCGACAGCGTTAATATTTAATTTTTCCATTATGGATATTAAAAATTCATTTAGGATTTATCAGTGTGACTAGCCGCGAAGGAAGATGTATACAAAACATCGAATACCACTAATCACCAGAACAAATTCAGAAAATAAATTTAAAAATAATAAATTTTAACTCAAATTTAAACAAAAATATTAAATTTTTCTACTAAATTTTATTTTTTTCTACTTCTACGCAAGTTATTTATAATTGTTCATAGAAAAAAACTAAAAACTCGGCGCGGAAAAACTCACTTCATTTTGCTAACAATATGAATAAAACATTCGGCTGCCACTAGCGCCTCTTGACAGCCGTGACAGTCGCAAATACTCACTCGGCGCGGACGTAAAATAAAGAGTACGACGCGCCGCGCGCGGGCAGGGCACATGCAGTTTGCAGATGTAACAAAAATAACGCCGACGCCCGGTTTGCCCGGAAAACGCAAATCAACCGTCGCCGTCCGCGTCCGTCCGCCCGTCCGAGTTTGCTAATTCAATAATAATCGTAAAAGTTCCACCACCATCCACGCGCCCGGACTAAAAACTCCGCACGAATGTGAGTGTTGTGCTACAATTACGCTTGACGTTACATTCCCTCGTTTCCCATTTTCGCGTGATGCAACTTTATTACTTTATCGAAGAAAAAACGAACAAAACCAGCGCAAGTAAGAGTTTTATTGCATTTTTTTCACAAACACACTAGTTTCGACTGCATTTTCCACCACATTTCACATTCGTATGATGTTTACCTCAAAACCCAAGAATAATATTAATTTAAAAACCTTTAAAACACCCCGAGGATGAACAAGAAAAAAAATTTCATCAATTTATTTGATTTGTCGATCAATTTGAAACCTAATACACTTAAAACGATTGCGGGTCGGCGCACGCTTCCCCGAATAACAACCCTTAATTCACCCTTAACTCATGCTGATGCGCGTGCAAACAGACGTTTTAGAAAAGCGTCGAAGCGACACGCCGCCGCCGCCGCCATCGAGAATAATAGGTGCCGATGGTAATTTGATTAAATGTATGATTGAACAACGCGCGCGTGTGCAGCCATCCGGGCGTAGGTACAACATGCTCGTGCATCAAAACAACCCGCACCCCCGAACGCTGACAACATCAATATATTCGCTACGAAATAACCAACAACGACACAATAAAAACGCGTGTAAAACAATTTTATGTATTCTTATCACGCCAAAAGCAATATTATTAGCGCATACGCCGCGTGAAAAGATTTTCCCGCCGCTGGTTGCATCCGCCAACCATATTTAAATTGATAATATGCAAATTCCGAATTAATCCGATCAACAATAATGGATTTTCATTTTCAGGAAAACAAAACGGAAACACCGCCGCCCGTGGAGTCGACTCCACTCCGTGCGGCGATAATAAAATAATAAAAACAAATCCGCGCAGCCATCGGTCGGATAGCGGGGACGCATTGGCCGGAAATGACAAAAAATATTGCCAACTGTAACTGTCATTCCATTTCGAAATTCGAAATTCGCGCAGAGATGTCATTCGTCAACAAAATGCGGCAATATCCAGCCATAAGTATAAACCAAATTAAAAACCACCAGCAAATACTCGTACTGCCAAACAAGCAAGCAGAGAAAAAAGTAAGTACCTATTGTAAAATGAGTAAATTAGAGCAAATAAAGTCGCATTATTTTCCGCGCAATTTAACTTTCGATGGTGATAATTTCGTTTTGGTAAGGAATTTAATCGACTTTTTACGGCTGTTTTGTGTGGGCCTGTATATACTCTGTATAAAACCACGAATAGAGAGGTATATATTCCAACATTCATCCACCTGCGTTCGTAAATTCGTCCGCCCGGTGAATGCGAATCGATTTCCTTTTACAACCGGCTTGCGGACGGTTTGTGTCATCATTAAACGTGTCCACAGTCGCAAAAAAATTACACCCAACTCTCGGCCAGGCGCGCAACACACAACACCCATTGGTGTTTATGTTCATCCGTCGCAAAATGCGCATTTTTAAACCTCAAATTGCCACTTTTACCGCGCTTTCTACGTGGATTCAAAGATAAACCCCGTAAAAACGCCCTAAAAACCAACGTTTTAACCAAAATAACAAACGTACAAATAAAAATATCTCAATTAAAAAAATTTCCCCAATTTTCAAGTCGGTAACATTCAGTAAATTTTATAAAGACGTATTATGAGTACCTAGCAACTGCAAAACGCGATTTAAACCGTGTTCAAAAGGTGGCATTACGCATTGATGCCAAGATACGGCCAGCGTCTTAATAAAAAGAGAAGCGTAAAAGATCTTAAAAGGTAGGAAAAAAGTGCGTAAGAGCCACCACCCGCCACCAAGCGACTACATAAAAATAAAAGATCCTCGTATTTTCCTAGAAACTTAACGCGGCGGCGCTTTCAGTTTCCACTCGCCGCAGCCGCCAACGACGACGACGACAAATCTAATTGTAAACGGTACACTAAAAGCTTTCGCTAAGCCCATCTGCCGAGCGCTAAGACAATATCGCGGTCAAAAGTTCGCGACAGACAGACGAGGCGACGTTAGGAACCCCACGACGAGTCGGTAACATTCGAGAAATACACGAAGAAAAATAAATAGAACGGCTAAAGTACCTAGTAGCAAAAGAAAAGCAAACCGAACTGAAAAGGATGAACCAAAGGCCGGAAACCTAACAACGTAACACATGTGTTTCTGATAATATCGACTCACGTCAGTTTCCGGGGCCGGAAGAGGTCTTAAAACCTCTTGAAACCCTTAAGTGTGTTAAAACCGTTTTATCCTCGAGGGAAAACACATTAAAAAGATTAAAACTACGAAATACGATAAAAGCTACATAAACATTAAACTTTCAAAGGATAGTTAGCTATTTATTAATGTATCCGCCAAACTCAATTGCAGTGACATCTACACAATCCATAAGGAAGTAAAATATTCGCCAAAGTAACACGCAACGCCATCTATGCGCCAAACTCTCAACTGGAAGCTTCTACTGGTGTACAACGGGTAGAAACACACAAAAGTATTGATTTTCTCAGCGCTACACATTTACAGTTTACTGAATTTCAACCCCTACAGTTTTCTACCCTGTACAGTTCAGATTTTAACCGCTAGGTGGACAAAGCGCTATTTTTAAGGTTTTCACATAGATGGCGCTGTGAGAATGAAAAACCGATTTCCGATTTCTGCCCACATCATTACGCCAACGCCAACGACGACGTCGGCAGCACAAACTGCTGAGGGTGAAATCAAAATTATTACCACTGCCGCGCGGCGTTTCGTCGCGAGCATGTAGACTTAATTAGTCCCGCGCCAGTCGTGCGGCTCCCCCCATGGCCCGCTCGTTTTCGTCGTCGCCCCGTCGACTTTCGACTTTCGGGACTTTTGCCATTCTCTCCATCGGGGGTGGCGGCACGATATTACGCTGGTTACCAGCGCTACCACGCGTTTTCCTCGACGGCAGTAGGCATACGATAAAACGTTAGAGATAACTGACGCACTCGTAAATTCGTTCAAATCGTCCTTAGACACCCCAAAAATATACAAAAAGCTGGTGCTGGCGTCGTAACACTAACATAAAACACGGCGAATAATTAAAGAAGCGCGCATGAAGACCCGAAATACAGAAAGAATTTTTCCCGCTTAAAAATCAATACCGAAAATGATTATATGCATTTCCCGCCGGCGGCTGTTTGGCGGCTGGCGGTGGTCCCGACGGTCTGGCGAACGTGTAATAGGGGTGGCCGACACCCAGCAATCTATTATTGAATGGCCTGCGGGCGTCTTTAGTCAAACTAAGCGCGACCAACGCAAACAACCCCCACAAGCGCGCACAAACAGAATCTCATCAAAATATAAAAACCACCGGCTCCCGACACACATTCCATTGCGGATACAGACGGCAAGGGTTGAACCGCACCGAGCAACTTAGTATAATTGACTCAGAATTAAGGTTATGGCACGCCGGGATTACTCCCCGACTTAGTTTTCGAGACTTGACACGACAGCCGCCAGGATAAACCGGGAATAACATTTTCCAGATGCAATTATCCGCCGTAATGTAGTGGCTAACGTTTGCTGCAGCGGCGGATCCCGAAGGGAGGGTCGTCTAGTGGCCAGGGCATTATACATCCGAGCTAATAATATTGGAATATTGCAAGTCTCATATAACTCACACCACATTTCTTGAAACAAGTGCAAGACTAGACCAAGATGATTGGAAATTTAAACACAATTTTCCTCTCAAGACACCAGAGCTTCTCGGTAACCGAGAACGATAATAATCATCAAAAGCAATTTTGCTACTTCATCAGATCGAGTTATTGCGCGAAGCGAAAAACCGCTTCCACCCGTCCTCCAGGAGTCAATTGTGCGATGCGTTGGTTGCATCGGCGAAGCAATCACGGCACAACAAACACAGGAAGACGCCGCGAGGAAAAAAAATTGATATAAGAGAACCCCAACCAGCCACGGAAAGAAACACTAATTATGTTTGTACAAGCGTGCGGCAAACGCTGACTCGACAGCCGAGTATTTTATGCTGAATCCTCAGAGTACTTCGGCGTGTCTTCGCCGAGCAATCAATTTTTAAATCAATTTTTCCGCAAAAGCAAGCGCAAGTGCAGCGTCAAATGGAATTTACTCGTATGATAAAATTTTTGAAAAGAGGAAAAAATCCGCGAGTGAAATATTGCGAAATATGGCAAAAGGATTGGGGCGGCTTAAATGGTTCGCTATCAAAGCGGGCGATCGGCACACGCCAGCTCGTCCAGTCGGCATGCAAGCCTACAATTAGGCTTATTTATTTACCATAAGCGCATAAACGCTTCAAACACGCGCTTGAAATGTTAAAATATCTACATACGGACATTATTTAGGCAACATCTACCTCACTACTTAAAAAGTATAGGCAACACACTATACTTCATAAAATAATTTAATATTTTCAATTTATTTCTTAAAATTTTAATTTTTGAACACCCTGTATATTCTAGGTGTTGATTTCCTAAACTAACTTATTAAACTTTCCCGTGTGCACACGCTTGCATTTTTTCTTTCGCGTTGCAAGCATAATTTCCGTAACTAACGCAAAGTACCAACCACCAACAATGCAAAACAATTACGCGGACAAGTCTATTACGTTGCCCGAAGACCTATAATCCAAAGGTGGAGTATGGTCGGAACGTCCAGTAGCCCTAGAGTAACCAATTGTCGGTGCGGGCGCGCGCGCGCGTGGAGACGGTGCCCGCTGGAAAACCACTTAATTGCTCAATTATTCAACGAGAACAATTGCCGGTTCAATGCTCGATCAATTATTGACTCGGCCCGATGCAGTCGATTAGTCAATCGTGCAAAGCACACAAAGAAAACTAATATCTAAGTAATATGCAACCACACATACATTAATCGCTAGTAAATTTGTATGATTGGTTGCCTATCGGTTAAAAGTGCCATTTTAATAGCCCGTAATTATTTTCGGGCATTTGAGTGACACTTTTCCGTGTCTCGTTGTCGGCTTTTAATTTTTGCGCATGTCAAAAAGTTTTGTAAACACGCGAAATGTTAAATTCAGACTCGTTGGGTTCGTGTGTGTTGCATGTTTCGGTTTTGTATCATTGCGGATGAAACGAGCGACAGAGAAACCGTCCATGCCGTCCATTAGTCGTGACACTTCGCTTTCGTTCTTTGCCGCTTTTAATCCTTCCGCCATGCAGCATGTCTATATGCATTCGCCGGCGGTCGACACGGCGGACAGACACATCATGTGCTGTTTTGAACAAACGACAATTTGTTCCCTGTTCGTATTCGCGTTTAATTAATTTCTTCGTTTCGCTGCAACTTACGAGCGCAGATCATAAATCACTACAAATTTCTATCTATCTTTTTGCTATCTGTGAGTCACATCTCGCTGCGCACACATAACGCTCTCTTTATATTTAAAAATATACGCAAAACAATCAAGAAATTCACATGCAGTCAGTAAAATTAAAATAAAAACGGAAAAAATTACATTTTCATATAACATTTTTCAGTTTGCAAAAAAATAAAACACAGAGCAAATATTAAACACTCCAATATTGCAAGAGCAAGTAAAATATCAGCGGAAAAAGCGGAAATTCGTTTAAAAACTGCGCACGAATATTAAATTTTCAACGACATCATCGAATTAGTATTCGGCGATGATAATCCGCGATGTACGAAAATACAAGCGACGAAACAATACGAGAAATAAGAGAAAAACTCAACAAAACGGAAACGAAACGAATGCGTTTCCAGTCTCAAGAAGCAAATGGAGAAAATGGAAATTTCCTAAAGTGGAAGTCTCATAGAAGAGATAAAGTCGAACGAGCCGAGGTCCACGTCCACGGAAATGCCGAGCACAAAACGAAGAAAAAGCGCAATTTCTCCGCGCGGCGCGCCGACTTGAAATCGAACAACAAAAGCCGCCCGAGAACGAATGACATCCGCAAATAAATGCAATTTATCAATTTGAGCCTTCTACTTAACCGCCAAGCACTGGTAGTTAATTTATAACCACAAACTTACACAAAAAAAAACAACTAAATATCAGCAGATAACAACGCGGAAAATACGTCGCAAAGTATTCCAAGCAGTGTTTCGTATTAGCAGCGATCGCAAATTCAAATTGCAACTCAAATGAATAGAACACAATTATAAACGTAATGCGGTTGTCAATTTGCCCGCCGGCCGCGATGGCGCAACACCAGCAACGAGAGTTTAATCCGTCCGCTGTTTTATCGTGCAGCGCGTTGTTCGCGGTTCACGCCGCCGTTCGATTGGCCCCTAACAACAAACTCTGCTGCCACCATCATCCAACGCGTATGTGAGAGTGCTCTCGCTCAGCCGCCGCCACCGCGATTGAATTAAATTGTTCGCGTTTTCCAACGAGAGCAAATGAATTTATAACAAGCCCGCGGCCGACACGATAAAAATAACAATCGTATTACCATCGGCGGCAATATTTCAATCTATTAATATTTAAACTCACCGAGTTATGATTGATTCAGCAGAGTCTCGCGCAGCCCAAGAAAAAACACCTGAAACACAGAAAATTATTTATTAACTTCATGAACACAATGTATAATAAATAAATAAATGTGTACGGAAGTGGTTTTTATATGAAAAGCAATTCCCATCGCCCTTTTAATAATGACAGGATGGTCTTCACCCCAAAAACCCACACATACACGTGTCGGAAGGAAGCAAAAGCAGTTTTATCCGAGTAAAAACCTTTTCTATACACAACCACCTTTCGCACCTTTTCATTTACACCCCATGCGATGATGACCCTAGCAGCTAATGAATCATTAAACGCGACACCACTGTGTACACAAACACCACCGATGATGAGCAAACACAAAATAGCAAAATATAAGAGTTTAAAATGTGTTATAATCATTTTCCGCTGCACTGCCGCCGTGGGAGCGTTGACACACTTCATTTTTTTTCGGTTTACGAACGTGTCAGCCTGTGTCCCGGCTCATTATAACAATTTTTACACTCTTACAAGAGAATGAAGTTCGCAGCGCGCGTTAAAACTTCATGTACCTGGTGCACAACTCGTTAAAAATAAATAAATGCGGCGGCATGATAAAGTTACGAGGGATTTAATTCTATAATTAAAAATATATGGAGTGTTGAACTTTACGCGCGCACATTTTACGCCCTGTATAACATATACTCGTAGTTTACAACCAAAACAAACAAAAAAAAACTTGAGCGATGTTTCACGGCAACACTGGCTGGATTAACACCTAATAAAGTGTGTTTTGTTTTCTTTTTGTAATCGCTAATTAAAAGAATATAAAATAAAAATGTGAAATTCTCCTCACGTGGAAAAAAAATACGAAAAAAACTTTATTTTCCTTCACAGAGTGGAAATATCACCGCGGCGCGCGAAAAACAAAATAAAATTTGTTCCGCTCCGCGCGGCGCGCACGTATGAAAATAAAAATAGGTTAAAATAAATTTCCAAAAGTGTCCATATACAACCAACTCTCCTCCATCTCGACCGAACCACTGCCTAGTTTTTCACGTCCGCCTTTCGCGTGAGTTGTGTATGGGTGGAAAACTGTCGCGATACTCTCACTCAGCGCACATCGCACGTAGGTGTCTGCACAATCTACGTGCTGGCACGCGTAAGAGAACCAGCCTCGTCGCCACCCCCCAGCGCAACTCTCACGAGAAGAAGGGCTCTCTGATTCGTTCGAGTCGAGTCGGTATATTTGAAAAGTTTTTCGATTTCCATAAATAAAATAAGAGAGCCGCAAATGCAAAGATTCGCAAAAGTTGGACGCTCAACAGATTCACCTGAGGAGAGTTGCGCGGATAAATTATGGCGTTTCATCGCTTATTACCGGCGGAAAATAATGTACTAGAAAAAATTTACTACTTTAAAGTTTTTATCAACTAGGAAACTTAATCGTAGACTGGGTAAGAACTTAAATTAAGTCCTAATCCAGTGAGGAATCGAGCAAATTGACCTCAAAACCGGGATTTCGACACGCGATATATTCGCACATAAATTGCGCCCAAATAGCCGGAAAATTTGCATTCGAAATCACTATTACTAACCACTCCAAATCCGTATATCTAATAATTTCCACAAATTACACTTTTCTTCTAACATTTACCCTGCAGCGCATTTTTAAAAAGTGATTTGAAGATTTTTCAACAAAACTCAATTTTTCATCTTTGCTCCGAGTTTTTTTCTGTCTTATCGCTGGGTAATTCCCTCTCCACCAGAGTCATAATTTCTAAAAATCGACTCGTCTCGTTATCGGCCATCCACGAGCGAACGAGAGATAAATTTATTGCCTCTAGCAGAGAGCACATCGCGCCACTAGCGCAGCTCCAAGTCTTCCGAAACATTTCATTCCTTCGGACAGATATAAACGATGACTAAGTGCATGTAAGACTTTTTAGTAATAGTAAAAAGCGTTGAGAAAGCGTGTGCGCTCCTTCTGCAGCGAACCAGCCATCGAGACCGCGAAAAAACGACGCTTTTCTGGCTCGAGACGATGACTACAACCACGAGCGACGCGCTAGCCGGGCGATAAAAAGGGCACAAAACAAAATGTTAACAGGGTTCCCACACACACACATACAAAGTCCAGACACCGCATCAGGACCTGCTTCAAGTTAAACTTCCCTTAAAAGCGCAAAGCCAGTAAAGGTGTCGGGGAAAACAACTTGCGCGCGGCGCGTTGTTTGTATCCACGAAAGCGGGGCGAGCAGTTTGTACCCCGAAATGTCCTCTTACATATACATAGCCACACTTAATATTATACCATGTGTTCAAAGTGCACACAAAGTTAACACACAAAACACAAGTTTATTTCCTGCAGTGCAAACAAACAGTATATGTCTGGGTGCGCTGCTCTTGTGGCGAAAAGTTTTCAATTTGGAAGCGACTTTGGAATGGCAGACGGGCTTAAAGACGCTCCGTGATCAGCACCGTGGCCGTGGATGTAGTCGCATTAGTTTTAGCGTGCGATGCAAGACCAAACTTGCATCTTGCAACTAAGAACTAAGACTAGGTAAATGCCACTTGTGTGTGCGCGCACAGTACAAGAGTGCGCATTTCGCGAAGTTTATTTGTTGTGTTTTGGGCATGCTTGTTGCGCCGGATTAATGCATTTCGTGTTGCAATGCGAGAGCGCATTAGTGTAACTCCGTGTCACCTTAATCTCACCATCGTCTCTCGGCGCAATCCAACTTTACAATGACACTAATATCACAACTTCACAAAGCAAACAAAAAAATAATCGCAACTGCAAACAACATAAACAAAATTTTATACAACATTTTATACAACTAGCGCCATCTAGTGATGTCAAAGTAAAACATTTTGAATATGTATAATCACTTTAAATCTTGCACGTTCAAGTTAAAAGCATGACGTGTGCGCATATATTTCATAAGGCACTTAATTAATACGCCTCATGTTTCAATTAAGCAGATTGACGTGACAAGCAATATCAAAACGCGACGCGCGCCGCCCTTCGAAAAGCACTCGCAAGTAAAACCATCTGCGCTCCTTCGTCGGCTGAGCAACTAAACAGCGACCAAAAGCGAAGAAACGCTAAATGTTTCCATATATATATAGCGGCACACACAGGTGCCATACCCTAGACGAAGTGCAAGCAAGAGTCTAATGCCGCGCTGAACTTTTCCGAGAGTATAAACTTCCAGTCGACAGGCAAAACGCCATAAAATTTTAATTTTAACGCGCGTTGTGCACGGCCATGCACGTTATTGCACAAACACCAAATATGTGAGTCATATGCAGAAACGCGAAATAAATCAGGAAATAATGGTTTATGCAAAAATCATACAATATGTCCCAACTGCATCTCCAAAACTTAAAACAATATAAAAACATAAAATAAATAAAAATTCTCGAAACATTCTGTATGTAACTCTGTAGATAAATCCTGTTCAAAACATACACACATGTCACCCGTCGCCAATATCCACTGACATGCGAGAGAAAACGAGAAAATCACGGAAAAAAATTCAACAAAACTTAAAACTAAACGCTGACACTGCCGCCTCGACAGTAACGGATTTCTCGCCGAAATACACGCACGCCCGGCGATTGCAAATCGGCGTGCGCGAAAGCACACCGAATCGAAAAGGAAAGGAATGAGCACCCCGGCGACGTTTATTTATTCACAACTTATAAAACGCTCGCTCCGTGTTCTATTCTATTCCGCACATCCCCCGCTGGTCGCTGTCGGGCGCACGGCACACGCCCGGGCACAAAATGCGATTATTTAAATCGCAGCGTTTGGAAAACGAAATGCGCGAAATTCGAGAGTCAGTCCGACGACAGCTTCCATAAAGCGTCGAAAACAGTCAAGCACGAGGACGCTAAACAAAATGGAAACATGTTAGCGGCATAATTTAACGTGTTTAGCATTTCCGGCCGCGTCTATAGACAAACACGAATGCGCATAATAGAGTCAACGTGTACATTTGGTTGCCTATCTTCAATCGATCGAATGCATTAATATTAAATGTAAAATTATACAAGACTAGATAAAAAAAAATGTGAATCAACTAACTGAGGACGATTTTAATAAGAAAAAAGTTTTAAAAACTTCGTTGCGAACACAGGAGGATAATTAACTAATCTCCAATTATTCTCCTTTTTCTTCCTCTCGAGTGATGGCGCAAAGAAAAAGTAAAGGTCGTTCATTAGGCTTCGATTTTTACCCTTTTTTCCTGCTGATCTCCACTGATCCAATATTAACTTCTCGAAATAAAATTCCCCTTTCGCCTTTCAGTATTAATCTCTATCCTTTGATATAATTCATTGGATCATTATTAAACCTGATTAAAGATTAATCATTAATTATTTCTGGAATGTCACTAATTGGAAAGAATTAATTCGGTTTCAATACTCGGCTAAGATGCTCAATGTTCATATATCAAATTTTTCTCTCTTATAGAAAAATATATGAATACGATTCGATTCGGTTCGATTGGATGGGATTGAAAGCGGCGACCGGTTGAATTTTCACCAGCTTTTATCTTCCGTACTTGCCGCGTTTTCCATCATCATCGGCGACGACGTTCGACGCCCGTAACGCGCGCGCATTTTCCAAACGGTTTTCCGCTCCGGAGATATATGGGAATGTAGCGCAACATGACGGGCGACGTGACAGCGCCGAATTTCGGTGCCTTCCGTGCGTTTAACCCGTCCGGATCGAAATCGTATTGGGGGGCGGAGGAGGTTTTTCTCGCCCGTGTTTGTCCTTTTTACGTACCCGAGAGAAAAGTTCCGCCACTCGATGTGCGAATTGTCACTCTATTTCGGCGCACGCCACAAAAAATAAAAATAAAAAAATGTAGAAAATGAGGAGCGACCGGCGACGATGGAAGGTGGACGTCACGCATTTTAAAAAGCAATCTGTTTTTATAATCGCTTTATAAATCGGCTTCGACAATGTTTGATTTTCGATTTCAATTAGTCGCCATCAACAAAAACACGCGTACATGACGAGCGAAAAACCCAAAACAAAATAAAAAA